GCATGTGCGAGAGAGAGAGAGAGAAAAAAACAAAACATGGTGCGAACTTGTCATTTTAAAATGGTTAATATTTATAAGACGTACAATCCAAGGCACTGTAGTCCGCATCGCCAGACTCAATCTCCTTCAACTCAGCCTCATCAGGAGCGGAAGTGTCTTCCTCAATGTCGGCCCAATCAGCGGGTTCTTCCTCTTCAACAGATGGTTGTTGGGAATTACCCTGAGAACTATTCGGCGAACTGTTCTGTTCAGTTTGAGTGTCAGGAGGTTCCTGGGATGAAAGCTCCTGTGATAAAGGTCCTTCTGAGGGTGCGCCTTGTGAAGGAGGTTCTGGAGAATTATTCTCCGTGGCGGGAACACCAATCATAGTGGGTTCAGGTACAGTTAGAGGTCCAGTTTCAGGGGTAGTTGGATTTTCAGGAGGTCCTCTTTCAGTTGGTACAGTGTTGATGGTAGAGATTGTGTGTTGTTCCGTTTCCATTTCCATATCCGTCTCCATGACTGAAACGGCGGCTCTGGCAGGGTCCATTTCAGTATTTCTTCCTGAAGGGGTAGAATTTGAAGAGGCTTCCTCAGGCTGTAATTGCGTATTATCTGGGGTAGTATCCATGGCGTCCTCTTCTAGGGACCGCTGCGGATCCAGTTGAGAAGGATGAGGGTTAGGGGAGGAAGTGAAAGAAGTGACAGCAGCAGCAGCAGGATGAGGTCGAGGTGAAGCAGAGGAGTTTACCAAGACTTGGAGTGAGCTCTCGACGTCCGGAACTTGTGACGGTCGGTCAGGAGCGGTTGGAGTATGAGTGGAAAAGGTGTTGAACTGGAAAGCAGATGAGGGAGGCATGACGGATTGTGAGGAAAATGGAGAACGAGGCCGGGGATGCTCTGGCGAAGAGGAAGAGTGGGGAAGAGCTGGAGCAACTGGACGTTCTACATTGACGGGGGACTCGAAGACAACATCCATTGCTTGTGCTTGGGCACCGAGTTAAGTGTCAGAAAGAGGTTGGTGAGAAGGGGAGGGCGATCACAACGAGACCAGCTCTAGGGAGAGGGGGTGAGAGGTCAACAGGTTAGCTCTATATATCAAAGCAGAGACAGAATACAGAAAACAGCGGTTGTTGACTTAGAGTTAAGTATCGTTCACGAGGACGAGTCATGTAAGGCGGAGGACATGGGACATACATACAGTGAACTGAAATGATGTCACAGCTTGGGAGGGGATGTATGGAGCTTAGCCAGAGAGTAACTGAGGTATTATAAAAAGGGGTTGGGGAAACGGACGCAGAGAGCTGCTCTTAGGGAGATTGGGAGGGAGGGAGGAGAAAGGATATGATAAATGCGAGAGAGAATGAGAGAGCAAACGACAAGAAAGGAAAAAGCCTGTAAACTATTTTAGTAACTAGATATCTAACTCGATCGAAGAAGCCAGGGGTGATATGACAAGAATGCAGATAGAGCAAGAGATGACCAAGAGGAATGATAACAGGAATGATAACAAATAATAGCAAGGGGTAGTATAATAGGGGTTAATGGAAGAAGGGAAGAGACGAAGAGATTAAGAGATGAAGAGATTTTGGAGGTTGAGGATGAGGTTGACAAAACACAATGCGCCGAGATTTGCAAGCGCAATTGATTGGCCGCAGAACTTCAACTGCGCCAGCCTCACTTTCTGGCAACTGCACTGTCAGTCACAGCGGGAAGAGAGTAAAACAACAAATATAAATGGAACAAACTGTTAAATTACTGAGCAAAGATATCTACAGAGTTGGCATTGACGGACGGAGTGGTTGATTGAATCCTCCATTTCGACTTCTATTTATATTTCTGGATATTTCGCTGCCTCCAATCTCTAATTATATCACTGCTATTAGTCCAACTTATCCTTATGGCTGCCTTGAGTCAATGCAGTGTCTCCCAACGGGTGAAAATCAGGTCCAAGCGGCTAGCTACCTGCAAGGCAGAAACAACAGGCAGCTGTGGAGAAACTCTTCTACCTCATGGGTACTTCGCATATAATAAATACTAGGTGACGTTACTGACATACGACCATTCGATACTAGCTCGAATAATGCTGCCGCCCGATTGGAAGTATTGTAGGCACGAGTGCTCTCTATAAACCTGTAGTAATTAATCCAAAAACTCCCTCAGCTCCAAGCCAGTCGCTAACTCGTCTGATGATAAAAGAACCTCCATCTCATCCATGGATGTCAATGTGTTGTGGTCCGTGAGTTGCGGGGGATCCGTTCAAAGTTCAGTTCAAGATCCATCCCCGCAAGCTAGCTAAAAGGGGTTGGCTGCATGTGGGGTTAGGAAAATTATTGGCCCTTTTATTATGACTGGCCTGTCTGTGGTTCTGGCCAACATCAAGACAGAACAGAGAGGGAAACTTATGGACATAGATAGATATTTAAATGCAAGGAGAATACTTCTTTAGCTTCAAATGTAAATAAATATGGTCACCTATAGAGTAGGTTAACTTACTCTAGAGTTGCTCCGTGCATTTATATTATTTGATTTACTGAGCGCATTCATTCATTGGCTTTGATACAGAGTTTACTACATTGGTGACTTGCATAACGCTACCTATGGGTAACTACTTAAGGCAGCTATTAGGCTAATTATTGCTGGGTGGATAGCCAGTCACACCACCTGAACAGGCTGGCAACCCTCTGCGAAATAGGCGTCAAGTCCTAATCCAAACAACGCTATGGCTATTTTTACCTCCCGCTCTGGCACCTGAGAAGCTCTCCAACAACTAACAACAATCTGCAAATCATATTCCCCCTTGCCCAAGGTCCTAGTAGTAACTTCACTCTCTACTCCCATATGCATGGATGTATATTGTATAATTGTTACGGGTGATACAAACTGCGAGTTACTGGGAGAGAGTTGTAAGCAATGACCAATGGATCAATCAACAGTTTCCAGGGAGAGCAGGTGCCATCCATTTAAGATGACACCCGCAGCTATCGGTTTCCCAATCCCATCGAGGGATGCTATTGTTAAATGGAATAACTACTTCTATTATAGTCTGTAAAATTGGGTGCGTCAGTGAGAGCGCCTGATTTTTGACGCCATTTTTTAGCGCATTTCTCGACAAAATTGATGTCAAACTTTAAAAATTACTGCTTTTACCCCAATTACATTATTATCTAACCGGGCCCTAGTGGTTGATTATGAAATCAACCTCTGGTTGGACCCTCGCATATTCAGGATATTAAATTAATTTATCAATGAATGTAGCAAGATTCATTAAATACAACTTGATTATGCAGTAGACAATCTATTTATAACTTTTTTTTAGTAAATTTAATGACTTTAACATTAATACCTTTATTTCTACAATATTATTTAAATTTTATTATAATTTTCTTTTATTTTAGGTATAATTTCTCTAATGTCTCCTAATTATCAAAGTTTTGATGAATGACTATCATCTTGCATATATTAGATGCAGATATGATCTCTTTCTTATATACTACTTTTTAAGATGTTTATTGACAATGTTCATAAGTTGTAGTGATTACAGTAGTTTTTGAAAGCTTATTTTACAAAAAAGTCACTGTGTTAATCATCACAATACTGCTATTATAGAGCTTCTCTAGCTCAATTTGAATATATTCAAAGTCTTCATCATTCTCTATAGTCTTCAATTTGCATTTATATTAGTTGAATTAATGTATAGTTGAAAGAATATATTAAATCAAGAAGTTAATAAAATCAGATATAAATAAACTCATAGAAGTTATCTCAAACTTATATAATTTATTAAAGATAATAAATGAATTGAATGGAACCAAGTCTGTTGCTTCTTATTATTTATTAACTACATAAACTATAAATATTACTTTTCATATAGAGATGATAGCATGAAGAAATTCAACTTTTATAAATTTTTCATAATCATATTTTATTGCTTCTTTAACTATAAATAAATAATGATGCTTGAATATCTGAAAAACTTCTATATTCAAAGACTGTAATAGATGACTTATATATAAAATAAAATAAAAGAGAATAATATTATTCTTGTTATAATAATTTATAAATTTGTATATAGAGTAGGAGTCAAAGCTATTCAATAGAAGCAGATGATGAAATCCTTTGATATGACTCTTTGTAGAGTGGTAAAAGTGTTGAATTCACTGAAAAATAATTTGATCATTGCTATAGTTAGTGTTTGCTATATTATTATAATATTCTTTTCAATCTTATCAGTTCAGTGCTTTTATAACTGCTTTATGGTGAGAATGTATATATGAGAACACTAAAGTGAATGAACTAAATATCAAAAAGAAGTATGAAAAGCTCTATAACTATGATTGTAAAAGGGTAAGTATATAGACGCTGCGAGCGCTATAGAGAGAAGAGGACAGCAATAGATGAAATATATATATATGATTGAATAGTAATTAATCACTGAATCTTTCAAAAGAACTTTGAAGATTTAGAGTATTTATATATATAAATAAGTAGCAATAGATTTTATCTCTAATTTTCTATGAAATAGAGAATTAGTAATATAATGATTTAAATTTTTATAAAGTACTAATTCTATTTTCTAGGAAGTGCTGATGTTAAAGAACTGATTTTTGAGAAGTGCTGATCTGTACTGATTCTGAATGCTGAATTTTGAGATGATGCTAATCCTCTAGAAGATGCTGATTCTAAAGTACTTTGGTAAGCAGTATGAAGATAAATACTTTAGTAAGTGAGTATGATAAGCAGTGTGAGAACCTGGAGGATTTAATTTTAAAGTGCTTTGATAAATAGTATAGTAAGTAGTGCAAAGACAAGAAGCTAGTATAGAGAGTCTTGATATCACAGTATAAAGGAGAAATAATGAAGTCATCTATTGAGACTGCTTTAATGATTATTAAATTTCTCTATTATTTAAACTTTTAATATAAATCTATCTTCCAAGATTTTATATGACTATTTACTTATCTTATTCAATTTCTATTCTGAATTTTATTTTATCAAAGTTATAGATATTACTGAGTTGAACTTTAAATTTATTCATTGTTTTCTTAAAATAATTAAATCAATAAAGTATTAATGATGACTTATTAGTTTACTTTTTTGTCATGTCAATGATCTTCTGCTATTGTATATTATATTCAGAATGACATTTGATAAATCTTTTGATTTAATTTTTTTCAATCTTAGGTGAAAGATCAATAAGATCTTTATAACTTTCTGCAAGAATAAATTAAGCAGTATTAAGTATCATTGATTGATTAAGAGATAAATCTATCTTATCTAGTGTTTTTATATACTGATAGAGTGATTTTTCCTGGTCGGAAAATAGTAATTAGTTAGCAGGAGTTCTTTTGATGTGAGAGAGGTGACCATAGAATTGATTAATTAAATATAAGTAAGAAATATTGAATTCTCTTGCCAATGCACTAATATTAAAATTTTCAACATCACCTATAAATTCTAGAATTTCTATGATTTTATTCTCTATTAAAATATATGAAGAAGTTATTGCATTAACTGATTATTGAATTTTGAAGATGGGATAGAATATGTAAAATAATATTTCATGTTGAGGTGGCAGTTTATGTTGAGATGGCAGACCCTCATATGCAAGGGTTTGACTGAAAGTTAATTTCATAATCAGCCACTAGGGCCTGGTTACTTATTATTATTATTATTATTATTATTATTATTATTGTTATTGTTATTCTTTTTAAGTGTATGGAGTCAATGACTAACGTAGTTAGACGCTGTCATGAGCATCATATCGATCGTATGCCTCGGATTGTGTAAAGGGTTAAGCTCTAAGAACTAGAGGCTAGTCCTCCTATATAACAAGGACGAATTGCTTGAGAAAGGGAAGAAAAGAATGAGATGAGAACTCAAGCTTAAGCAAGCTCACGTAGCATGATCACGTGCACACGTGCAAACGATGGCTAGGCTGAGTCAGCCAGCCAGAGCAAATCTAGGGGTTCAACCCCT